ACTGACGTTTGATGTGGAATAGCATTGTGTTGTGATCTTTCGAGGGAAAGGCACACTGTGACTGGTACCGCCGTATCGTGTCCGCCGTGGCCTTCCACTACGCTACGCTAGAAAGCCGCAGTAGACCGGCTGGGTCAACTGTATGTAGGAGTGTGTACCCTGGATACATGTACGTACAAATGTAGTTGTATCGTTACCCCATCTCACGAGTGTTTTCAAAGTATCAAGGCAGATGTTATTGGCAACTGTACTGTCTGTAATAGCAGAGGTCATTTTCAAATTCTATGGGAGGCCGGTGATTTGACAAATACTTTGAAGCCAAACGAAACTTACAGGCATACGAACGAACAAACATGGCTGGAAAAATAGTGGGTGCCATTCTAGAAAGAGAACCAACTGTGATTTAAATCTGACCGTATAAATAAAAAAACATGATGATAACATTGATACATGAGAACTTGGATATACTTTCATTTGTTTATGCAAACTGTGCCCCGGACTGACATTTACCGGGAAGTCGACGCTGAGAGATACAAGTCACCTCGGCCTTTCATCGACCTCGTTTTGCAAATTGTATAGTACTACTCACTACAAAAACAGAAAAAAATCATCTCTCTGTACTTGTAGACATATCCCAACTCTGTTTATCGCATTTGCTTGAATTAATCACCCGGTTAACCTCATTTCATCGACATGATAGGGCGACCTAGTTGGGAGGCTACCAGCACAGCGGCATCAGTTGCGGAATCTAGAAGCGTACATGATGGAACGCTTCGACCGAGCACGCTTTAGCGGACAGAGCAGACGACGATGCCCTCACAAAATTGTATTATTTTGATATTGAAACCCGCTGTTATTGGCAACTGACCATTTTATTTGATGCCGATTTTAGTATCATATACTTGTTATTGAACAATTTCTCTTCTTTTTAAATAGTTCCTCCTTTATTCGTTTTCAAAAACAACATTGTATTCATATCCTTGGTTCGGGACCTTGATACTGTTATAATGTTATAATATAATTGTAAATAACCTTCAAATGACAGATAAACTTATTATATATTGCAGATTTATTTACTGGCAGCTCCACCAAGTAAAACAGTATTAGTGCTCTTCAGATTACATTTACATTTTTTAAATGGTGCATTATTAGCACTTGTATTTCCTGTTGTCAATACAAGATTGGTAAGTATGTGTCACACATCAAACCGCGTATTTGTTGCCAAGATAAAAAATTTTTGATATTGTAAAGTTGACACCAAAATCGAAATGAGTCATCTTGTCTCAGACAACTCACTCAATTCATCACTTGTTTCTTACAGATGCCTTTTGAAACAGAAGTCTATTGGTTTCAACATATTTTGATATATTTTATAATTCCACCATACCTCATGAGATGTGGAGGTAAGCATATTTTTAAATATAAGTTGTGAAATGTCCGATGTGTCACACGGGGGTAAAAATAATAAGAAAAACTTATCCTACCAGCCACAGTGTCAGCTACCGCGGCCGCGGTAGCAACCTAAGCCAGAAACCCGGACAGGAAAAGAGCTGCTAGACTTCATCCCCGTCGGTGCGGAGATAAAGAAAGAGTGAATATCAGGGTATGATGGCGCCGCCACATTACCTCGGTCACATGGTTCGTGACGTAAGAGAAAAAAATCTTGGGGTCATGGGGCTTCCCCTGACCTAGATTTTATCTCTCCGTCATTGGCAGAATTGCTGATTAATGCCTACAGTTCAAAATAGTCATTTTGACTGACCGGAGTCTATGGTGGGTATGAACTATGTGAATAGACGGGTTCGGAGAACCCTCTGCCTAATTTCGTGATGATATCTTTAATTCTCTAATTTTAGTGAATATTTTTGTAATTTTTAATAAAAAGTGATATTTTCGACTTCTTGTTAAAAACAGCAGGTCCAATTGCTTTGATATTTCATATATAGGTACTACATGTGGACCTCTCTCAGACTTGTTCATTTCATGATGATATCTTCAATTATCTAATTTTGATGATTATTTTTGGTGAAAAGTGATATTTTCAAATTCTTGTTGAAAACAGCAAGTCTGATTGCTTTGATACTATACTTATTGTTCATTTTCTAATGATATCTTCAGTTCTTTAATTGTAATGTGCATTGCTAACAGCGGAGCTATCTCAGCCGACAGGCTGCTTGTTTAATTCAAGATTCTTGATAGCATCAATATCACATCAATCATTTCTGCAATTTTGGAACCAGATCTTTGTTGTGCATAGACATATTTCATTCAAACTTGGTATGTACTTCTACAACATTTCTGTTACCCAAGTCTTGTCCTTCATAGTAAAACACTAACATATCTATACTTACAGGTGTGTACTATCCAGAACCTCTCAGCAATATATCATGGGTTAGCTGGTCATGTAGCATTAATATTGCATATCACTACAATTTGTTGCAAGTTCTTGGTTTGGTAAGTAGATAGCTCGGGTATGTTATTTGTTTGAGCTCACGTTCTTACCACATTGTTGATTACCCATACAACAATACACTTTTACTACATTGTTGATTACCCATACAACAATACACACTTTTACCACATTGTTGATTACCCATACAACAATACACTTTTACTACATTGTTGATTACCCATACAATACACACTTTTACCACATTGTTGATTACCCATACAACAATACACACTTTAACCACATTGTTGATTACCCATACAACAATACACATTTACTACATTGTTGATTACCCATACAACAATACACTTTTACTACATTGTTGATTACCCATACAACAATACACACTTTTACCACATTGTTGATTACCCATACAACAATACACTTTTACTACATTGTTGATTACCCATACAACAATACACACTTTTACCACATTGTTGATTACCCATACAACAATACACTTTTACTACATTGTTGATTACCCATACAACAATACACACTTTTACCACATTGTTGATTACCCATACAACAATACACTTTTACTACATTGTTGATTACCCATACAACAATACACACTTTAACCACATTGTTGATTACCCATACAACAATACACGTTTACTACATTGTTGATTA